CTTTGTATTTGTCGCTAGCTCAATACAAACTCAAATAAAAATGAGTCTTGAACGCTCCATACAAAATAATTATAAAATTCAACAGAATCTATTAAAAGAAAAATATTTTCAATCATCAAGTCCCATAGAAACTATAAAAGCAACATCTTGTGGAGAAGCTATTTTTACAAAATAAAAAAAAAACTAATTTATAATTATTTATCAAGTCATAATATAGTTAATAATAACATGATAAAATTTCTTATTTTGTTCAAATTTTTCAAGCTTTTTATACTCATTTGAAAGTAACGCCGAAGAGTATCTCTTAAGCCAATCTTAGATGCAATAAGTGTTTCTACCATTTTAAGTGTTAAGGAGAGTGTGAAAATCGAGTATCTTTCCTCTAGTATTAAAGGAAGATTAAGAGATCACAATGTAGATAGGTAATGCCAATATCTCTCTTGCAATACTTACTTGGATTAGAAATTAACTTGAGTTTAATTTTCAAAAATTAGAGATATCAAAATTTTTTAAACTATCTAATGTTTCTTTCAAGTACTTACTCAATTCAAATTTCTTATTTCCATTTAATCCAAAAATTGACTTTAACCATAACGATCATCATTTAATATCATTTTGAGATCTTGCTTCCTTACCTTTGAATTTTTCAAAAAGAGACTCCAAACAAATTTTAATTTCTCATTCAATATTATTGTCTCACTAACACTAAAAGCTTGAAAAATCAATCATATTATAAACTGCAATTTGTATCTAAATCTAACACAATAAACAATATATTTAGATTGTTAGGATTCTTTAAGTATTTATCATTTTTTCCTTATTATTATAGCCATTTCTTTTATTTTTACGCCTTAAAATTGATGACACATTTGATTAATCTTCTTTTTAATTTCAAGAATTTTTAACATATATATGTTACCTACCACATAAGATGAACTAGAAATACATAAAGTAACTTATAAAAAATCTTAAAAAACAGTAAAATTGAACACATAATCTCAATCTTTACTTGTAAGAACTTTCTTTCCCTTGTTTAACTTTCAGTATACCCAGTGGATCACAGGTTCACACAAAGCTTACTCTACAACGAGTATACTTAGGATTTTCAGAACGATTTGTGAGAATGTTCCTCACAAGGTGACTTGGTTTTGTCTCAAATGTTTTTTCCATTCTAGAATATACATATATTGATTTTTCTTTAAAAAAAAAAAAAACTCAATTAAGTTAATAAACAGTACAAAGAGACAATCTGCTTCATTTCCTTAAATTGCAGCCAATCTTAACGAAGCAGACCTACAATCTTTATTTTCACAAACATTGTCCATTAAGACATCTTCAAAGTAAAAGAAAATCAAAATTCATTTGTCGATGTAATTTGTGCTGGAATATGCTCGAGGGTTTCAATATAAGGATTTCCATGTAAACAATTTACAATCCTGACAAAACTGGCCTAAGTATACACACAAGACTTCAATAATGAGATTATCAATTAACACCTCTAAAACACTGATTATCATCTTAAAATGAATAATCCTTCAAATCAGATTTTGAGTCGCCCAATCCCATGTCTGCCATGCACTCTTCCTCGGTAAGTGGTGGGAGTTGCCTTGTCTTACGCTTCATATTGTGCTTGTGCCACTCACTCTTGTGATGTTCCCTATACAGCTTGGAGTCTTCAAAAGAAACATTACATGTGTTGCACTTATTTTGCTTTTGTTGTTGTCCATCAGTAGGCCTACTCGTAGATGAAATTGTTTGCTTTTGAAGTTTCTCATTCAATTCATGCACAGAATCAGGAGTTTCTTTGGGCCATGATGCAGGCATATCCTCAATATCATTGTATTGCTCCACATGGGTATCCCCCTCCACATAAAGAGAGTGTGCAAGAACTTCAAATCTTCCATGCATCTTATTCATAACAAAATCATGACAATCCTTATATAGACCAGGCTCCAATTCAAAAATCTGCAATCCAATCAGAGATAATACGGTAATACCAATATCCCTCAACACATTAGCAGATTCAAGATTAACCGTATAAGTATAGTAGTATACGCATTATGTAGATACACCAAACCCACACAACTTTTGGAAAGGATTATATTTTCAATAGTTAACCATAAACAAGGAATATACAGTAACAGCATTTGAAACAGGAGAATTGCTGAACAGTTATAGAAATAGACTTCCCTTTTGAAATTTTTATGGGTTATTTGATTGTGTTGGGGGTGAGATGAGAATTCCAAAAATGAAGCTGATATTGCATTGGTTAACACTAGTCTTTATTTGAGCTTATGAAAGAGGCTTGTGACTTTCTAATACGTTCTACTCACCTTATTTCAACATGCTTTACATAGAAGCCTATCAAAACAAGATATTCTTAGTTTATTTCACTTAAGTTTTAAAGTGAAGCTTATGAATAAACTCCCATATGATAAACATGTATCAAAGAAGTGTTTAACTAAGCAGTTTACCCAAACACGCACAGATAATAAGAGGGGCTCCTAAAACTAGCAACCATCGCAATACTTTTAGTTTCGCTTTCAAGAAATACATACTATAGCAAGTACAAGCAATCAGAAAATCCAGTATAGCTAAATTGAAAATGAATACAACAAGAACTTACCACAGATAACTGAGCAGAAGATCCTTCTTTGGAAATAAGTGTGGCATCCCACACACTGAGCTTTTCTAAAAGTTGGGGCACTTGATCCTCGGGAGCAGCAGCTCGTATTCTCAACGGGCACCGTTTTATAGGGAAGTGCTTTTGAAGCTCTTGAATTAACTCCAAAGCCTGTATCATGATGATCATACATAAAAACAAATCCAACCAGCTTTGAAAAATTTGCATCATCATTACAAACATTGATTGAATTGTAACAGTTAAATGAATGAGAGACCTGTTTCTTGGAGTTGCTGTGAGGATCAACGGCAAAATGGATTTCGCGCATGAGGCGTTCGATCATGCTGATAGTGTAAGGGCGCTGAGTCTCAGGATTGTAAGTCTTATGCATCACTATGGTCGCAATGTCCCTAAACTGATTCGACAGAATCGATTCCCTCTCTTTACCAGCTACCTGAAGCTCCCCTTTCTTTAAAATCTGCACCCTCAAACCAAAACAATCATAAAAACGTTATCATAAAGTTCCGATGGTATGTGTGAGGCTTACATAATTATATTACATACCTCTAAGCATATTTTGGAGTGGTCATCGGTGCCAAAAGCTGCGGTTAAATCTTTGGACTTGGCAAGAACCCCTTTGGAGACGTTGGAGTAAACGGTGTGGGACTGCAGCACTTCATCGATGTCCTTTTCCCTGTTGTTATTATAATTTTAATTTAAATGAAGAATTGGAGATTTGAGTGGATAATAAAGAGAAAGGGGGGAAGAGAGAGGTTACACGCCGGAACGCCAAGAAAGAACGGTGTTAGGGTAGCAAGCAATCTCGAAGCGCATTCCGTGCTTCTTCAGACGCACCACTGCTACGTTCGTTAGCCTCTTTTGCCCTATCGGCTGCACCAACGTCCTCGACATCTCTCTCTCTCTCTCTCTCTCTCTCTCTCTTTTTCTTGTGTTCGTTTACCTGAATGACTAATCGACGAGGGAGAAAAGAATCAAAGAAATAAAGAGAAGCGGTGGGGTACAATACGACGACGTTTTGAATTTGGGTTTTGAGTTTTGATTTTTTAATCCACCATTCCCTTTGTAACTACCAGTTCGGCTCCACGTCTGTATTAAATGCAGAATAAGCTAGCAACTTGGTTGTGGGATGACACATGAGCTCTGTAATTTCGTAAAATATTTCTTATTTAGTTTTTGTGTTCTTTCTTTAAGTTAAGAAATTTAAAGAGAACATTTTTTTTATAAAATTATTGTTAATGCACATTTATCATGATTTTTAACGTGTTTTTAGGGTAATTTTTAATAAAAAATATATTTTAATTTCTTAATTGGTGTTCTTTGGATATCAATCAACAATATTCTTGTTTTTACTTATAGTAATAGAACTATCACCTTGTTTTTTTTTTGTCGTTTTTAAACATTTGTCTAAAAAGGTGAAAATTAAAAAATATTTTCACTGTTTGCTGTACAAATATTTAAAAATAAAAAATGAAATAACAGTTTAATAATTTTAAAAAATAAAAAATAAAAACTAAATAGCCCATAATATTCTTTGGTTAAATAATTTTACAGTTGTTTATAGTTTCATTGACTATATCTAAATGAGTTTTTATATATATATATATTCAATTAGTTAAAAAAACTCAAAAAACAACAAACCTATCTAATTAATCTGAGAAAATAAATTCTCATTACATTTTCTCTAACAAGATATTTAAGTTGGAAAAAGAGATACTCTAATAAAAAAATCACTTTTGGCCAATTAATAAGCTTAATTAACAAAAAATTTAGCACATCAATTAACTTCCATGTATACATAATATAAATTAAATATTCTACAAGATTAAATCAAGTTTCTAAACTTTTAAAACTTAAGAAATCTCAGTAAAAAGATTAAATATAAACAACCCAACGCGAGACACCCTTCATGCAACATTTTTTTTGGTCATGATGCAACATTTTATTACCCTCCAAATTGTATTTACCAAAAAAAAAAAAAGAAAATACAAACTATTCTAAATCCCATCATCTCATGTATTTTCTGTGCTTCATTAAATCATTGAATTTGTAAGTTAAGACTAATTACAAAATGGGTAAATTTATATTATTATATCTAGTTATTTTAATATGAATACTGGAAGACAAAATCTCATTTAAATCTTCGTTGTAAATGAAAAGAGGCTGTATAACAATTTGAGTACTCTGTGATGAGTAATAAGTTTCTATATATATTAAAATTACAACTCATTTACAATTGAAGTAATAGACATAAAAGTCTTTCTATAATATTCAATGGTTCATTTAGAATAGGCACACAGAAGCAATTACTCCTCCACCATTTGAGAACGATACTGCAGTGGAGCATGTATCCGCCAAACCCCCAAAAGACGCGCAGATTTTCATGCTATGTAACTTTAACAATGATAAAGTCTTTTATTTTTTTCCCCATATGTAACCCTACTGTATTGCTGATTAACACGTGACATATTAACTGAAACAAAAATAATAAAATGATAAAAAAACGAAAAAAAAAAATGAAAATGTACACTAAGAAATAAGCATAAACAGAACAAAGTGAGTGCATACCTATTACTAACCTTAAAAAACATTATTGGAACCTATCATCCAACTTCTGCCTGTAAAGGGCCAAACCCTGCAATCAAGTAATAACAGTGTCAGTGCCTTGAAACCTGGTTAACAAGTTTGACAAATGAAAAATGGAATTTCATATAATAACATAATATGGCACAAATCTAATTAGTAGAAAATTGCTTCTTAATAATAGATCACAGATCCCAGAGGATGTTTGGACTAATGGACTAATGGACTTCAACTATAAAACAATTTGTGTTCAGTTACCCCCTAGCAAAGTTCAGTGTTTAATAAATAAATGTCTTTTCTTTTCTGGTATGAGAAAAAGATGAATTTTAATCAAAATTGCTTCCATGCTTATTCAGTTATTAACATTTGTAGGATCAGGATCTCTATCCATGCCAACCAACCACACTGGCTGAATCCAAAGGAAATGTTTCAATTTGGGATGTTAGCTACTATGTGTAACAACTTTCTATGAGTATTGTACATATGTTTGAAAATTTAAGAACCGTGGAAAAAGAACATTTTAGCACAAAGAAAAAGTGCTTGACATGGAAGCACAACCTGGTATTACCATTATATAAGTAATCACTTCTCAAGAATAAGTCTGTAAATTTATGCAAAGACTGTCAAGAATAATGAAACCATTTTGAAGTTTTATTCTTTCTATCTATTTCTTGTTGACTGCAAGTCTCCTTTCATCTTTTCATCATAAATAAAAACTTGTAGAATGCTGAAAAAATCATCATCTAGGCAAAGCAGAATGAAATATAAAAGGGGTATAGTTGCAAACCCCAGTATAGGCATAAACTCCAGCTTCAGTTGGTCCTATTGGACTTCCCCTCCTAACGAATCTTCCTTCTTTGAAAATATAAAGCATAGGAATTCCAGTTGACAATTCTAAACTAATCACCTGTGAAAAGGAGAAACAATAATAATACAAAGAAGACTATTGATACTATGTGAACTTCGTAGTCATGAGAATTTTGAAATCTTCAATCACCTGTTGGGAAGTTAGTTTGTCAAGGTACATGATAATGGATCTCAGAGAATTCCCATGGGCTGCAATCATAACATTCTTTCCTGATAAAAGTTGAGGTTCAATCTGCAGCATTATGTCAATGGAATCACTTCCTCCTTCAAGAGTTTTGTGTTACTATTTACTAATCAAAAATCATATATTGAGCTACATACATACTTTCTCAGAAGCCTGAAGCTACATACCCCATTAAACATAAAATATATATAAAAAAATCACTGAACAAATAATATGGAGTTATGCAGTAGAGAAGACCATCTAATGATATAGGTGTCTCTGAATATCAATTTTAACACATAACACTGACATTAATTATTATAATGATAGAACGTGCAGAATATTATAGCATAAAAGGAGAAAATGAAAACAAAAGGAAGGTAATCAAATTACTAAGATGTTTTTTAATCTTTATAAAAATGAACCATGATACAAAAATCAAAGTAACCACATACTTGGTCTCTAAAATAGGCAACTGCCCTTTGAGCACACATTTCCAAACTTTCACCATTTGGGGGAGGTATGTCATAACTCCGGCGCCACTCATGGACTTGTTCTTTCCCATATTTGTCTGCCGTTTCTTGCTTATTGAGACCTTGTAGTTCTCCATACCTGAAATGATAACAAGTATGGCCAATAGATAATATATTACACACAAGATTGAAAAGCAGGATTTGCTAACACTGAAGGTACGAAAAAAGATTACTACATTCTTTCATTCAATTGCCAGGCTGCTATGACTGGAATGGATTGCCGTTTTGTATCTTCACTAAAAACTTGACTCCATTCCCTTGCTTGTTCACTCTCATTGTGCATTATGATAGGCACCTGCAGAAACGTTGATCACTAATAACATAGAAAATGGCATTGAATACTATATTGTAGAAAATGAATATCTTTCTTCAAATAGTATAAACTACAAACTACTACACTTTTTGTAGTCTTTTCTGGACTATGGTATACTAAGCAAAGAGTTCAATTCCACTGTGTTCACAATTAAGTACTAATGGTTTAGAGCATGTCATGATGCTTATAAATATGTCCCAAACTTTCTCAAGTAAAAATTAGTGCACATGTTATGTCTCTATTGACACCTGAAAATAGTTATCCATTCATGTTACCTTCTTACGACGATGATGTGTCATGGCAAGCATGGCTGTCATTTGTGCACGAATCAAAGCAGATGTAAATATGAGATCGACAGGAATACTGCTAATTCTTTTCCCAGCTTCAATTGCTTCATCTATGCCCTTCTTGCTCAGTGGCACATCAACACAACCTGTGAACAAGTTCTTCTCATTCCACAAGGACTCACCGTGTCGAATAAGGATCAAAGCAGCTTCATCTGAGTAGCAATAAGTTAAATATTGCAGTTAGACAACATCCATTGTATACAACTTTAACTTCTAGAATGTGGCAATCACCTAAGAGTGGTGAATCCAACTTCGAGAAGCAATCCTTTTGAACATGCTTTGACACAGAAATATGTTTGTCTTACTTGATTTCTTGTGAATGTCTCTGTCCCTAGTTTTGCTTCTTGAAGGGGATGACACTGTCTCAATCACTGATGTTTGAGAAGCTGAAGATTGAATTACACTACAAACCCGCCTTGAAAGGCAGTTACTGCTGATAAAATCCTTGGTCACCAGTTTTACTATATTGTTCTTCAGCTTTTTCTGATGATTAAAATTGTTCAAATAAGAATGGGATTGAAAAGCCCCATTAGCCTGGTAAGATATTCCAGCAGCCATTCTCTTAAGACTGAAAACAAACAATTGCATAAGAAAAAATCACTTATTGCTTGTGAATTCATAATCAAGACATGGGGTGCCTCATGCTTGTTGAGATTTATTTGTCCATTTAAGTATCAGGATATACCCTTAATGTTTGAACCAATGAAACAAGAAACTCATACAAGCGTAGAAGACATTGATAAATGATGCCAAGTAAGTAACAGGAAAAAAAAAACTTGGGAAAATTAAAACATTTCCTACTCTTAATAGAAATTGCAGATCTATGAAGATGAATACAAAAATCAAGATGAGCCCAGAAAAGACACATATTGGGAGAGGGAAAACAACAAAAAAGTTAAAAAAAAGCAATGAAAATATTATCTTCTTAAAATGAAAGTGATTCAGAGTACCTGTAGCAAATAGCCAAAGGAAACAACTAGACGAATATTACTATACTTTATGTGTGCATGTGAAAGTGAAAAGCGTATAATACTATATAGTTTATAAATAGGAAGAAATAATAGTAGGCGATGAAATCGAGGCAATGCAGAGTTTGTGATTAAAGAAGCTACTGTATGCACTCCAACCAACTAACTTTGGAAAGGATAATATGTCGATTAATGAGAGGTAAAAGGATTCAATATTAGTATTTTTTTAGTGTAACTCAAACTTGAATTGCAGAAGAGGCAATCTAATTCCTAAATGACACAGAACTAGCTGTATGATTTGTTTTTTGGTACTCAAATGTCACCTTTAAACAGCATACGACAATATATGTAGTTCGATAAAAACTAGGAATGCTGCCACAATTCGAAAGCACAATAATCCACGATTTATAACCACATTGCCAACCTACCAGTTCTGCTCCACGTCTGTATTAAATGCAGAATGGGCTACCAACTTGGTTGTGAGCTGTTTAGTTTGGTAAAATATTTATTACTATTGTTTTTGTTTTTATATTAAAAAAATGTTAAGAAATTTAAAGAGAATATTTTTTACAAAAATATTAGAAGAATACTAACAGTACACTCTTTATCATACTTTCAGAACGTTAGCACCGCACTTTCAATAACATAATCTTTATTGTTGACTAAAATTTATTAAAAATTTCATAAATTTTATTCTTTTTTACTTTTAGATTAATATTTTTTTATATTTTTATAATTTTTAATAAATTTTAATTAATAATAAGGAGTACATAGAGAGAATGTGTAGTTAATATTCTTTAAAATATTATTAATACACATTTATCATGATTTTTACCGTATTTTTATTATAATTTTAATAAAAATTTATCTTTTAATTTCTTAATAAGTGTTCTTAGGATATTAATTTACAATCCTATTGTTTTTACTTATAAAACTATTACCTTATTTTATTTTGTTTGTTGTTTCTAAAAATTTGTGTAAAAAGGTGAAAATAAAAAAATATTTTTTGTAAATATTTAAAAATAAAAAAAATTAAACAGCTCATAATATGCTATGGCTAAGTAATTTTGCAGTTGCTTATAGTTTTATTGACCATCCAAATGAGGTTTTAAAACTTAAGACATCTCAATAAAAATGTTATAATTACTAAAAGTTTGAAATATATATATATATATATATATATATATATATATATTTTAAAGGTGGAGCAAGAGAAATACAAATTTCTTCAACTTAAATACAATCAGAGTGAATAAAATATAATTATAAGGATTAGTTTTATAAATTGCAAATATAGAGGTTATAAAGTTTTTTTTTTTTAATTCTTTTATGTTTTTGGCTTGCCTCTTTATGTTTTAAATATTTAGCAAAACTTGAAAATATCATTTTAGAATGATATAATATTATTCTTTTGAAGGATGTCATTTTGCAAATGTAAATTTAAAAGGACGAGTCTTTTTCAACGATTACTTATCTTTACAAAGCTCAACGCACTTTAATTTTGAATTACCTATCATATAAATTATAAACTAAAACAAAAACTAATATGTTTGACTTTCTTGCAATCCTAATTATTTAAATCAACATCTGCTTATAATAACCGTAATGATAAGCTTTAATTATTTACAAACTTTACGTATTTCATTTCAATGAAATTAAAGTCACTATTGTAATAAAAAAAATTAAAGTCAGTAATACAAATTATACTAGTTGAGTTAATTTTTTTATCAAGATTTTTTTGAATCACAATGCCGATAATTTATTAAATGAGATTCAACATATATATATATATATATATATATATATATATATATATATATATATAAAATTCTTCTGCTATTTGATAGAGTAAGTATTAAATAAAAAAAGTATGTATTTTATCATCTTAAAAATTTTTAATAATTTTTTTATTTTTTAATTAGAAGAATTTGTAGAAATATAAATTAGAATGATTTATAATTGTTATCTTTCCTATACCACATGTATTGAAAGTAGTTTTGTTCAAACAGAACCAAATAGGAAACTAGTTGCATTCATTAAGACTTTAACTAAAGTCATATGTTAAATTAAAACAATCTCATGCTAGTTGATACACTTGTTTTGTGGTAGAATTATTATTCTTTAATACATTTTTAACATATTTTCTGTCATTAATTTATTTTTTAAAAAAGTAAAAATACTTATCTTGTAAATTGACATCTTTTTAAAGATTATTTTAAATTTTTCATAAATTAACAAATTATAAAAAAAAATATTGAAAAATATGTTTAAAAGAGTATATTACTAATATTTCTCTTCTTTTAAATTTTATATAGATACACAAATTTAGTTGATAGAATAGTAAAAAAATGTAGCACATTTACATCCTACCACACACTTGCTCTCATCCTTCATCTTCTTTCTTCGTCATATAACTTTATCTAAAGTCTTTATAACAAATAAAATTATATATATATGGTATGAAATTGTTTAGTTTAATTTTTGTAAAATTGTTAATTTAATTCTCATAAATTTGATTATTTTTAAATAATTGTCATCAACACTTAATAATAACCTGACATATATTTAAATATGAATCTAGCAACCTTTATGAGGTATTATATAACGTATATCATTAATATGAGAAAATAAGAGTCATTTAAAAAAAAAGTTGTAAGATTAAAATCAATAAAAAAAAATTGGTAAACAAAATAAACTTTTATCATATGATAAAAATATCAATCATCAACTTTTATATATAAATTATAAGTACTTAATTTTTAGACGAGAGCATTTTAAAAGTATTATCATACAAAATTATTTTTAAATATATTTTTTTATTATCATAATAAGTAATTTTTTTTCTATATTATGTATTTATTTTTTAATTTAATATTAATTTAACATTAACAATTTCATACTTTTAAAATTTCTTTAATATAATAGAATATTAATTATTATTTTTACAATATTTAATTTTTAATTTTATTTGAAAAATTAATTTAATTTAATGATATCCATTTAATACACGAAAAGATTAAAAGTTTTATCCATAAAATATATATAGTAAGTTTCGAATATGATAATAAACAAGAATTGTGCTGTTCTTATTTTATATTGATGCACTCTACTTAATCAAAAAATTATTTAGAGCAACCCTTCGTGATGTTTTAGGGGCACAAAGAGACGATGTGAAACGACCCATGAAAATTGTGGCCCCTTCCCTCTCTGTGCCTCTCCCTTATTCAACTCTCAATATTTTGTTAATTGGTTTTAATTTATTTTAAATTTCAATACTTAAAAGGATGGAAACAGTTATCATAATAAACGTTTTCAACTTTAACATCACTCATCAATGCCACCACCAGTTGGGTGACGCATAAAGGGCTACGTGCAAATCTGATGCTAAGTTCTTTCAAGTTCAAATCACTTTTCCACTCTCACTTAATTTTAACTCATTTTTTATACGTTTTATCAGTTTAAAATTATAAAATTTAATAATTTCCTTTACATATCTCTTTATTTTAGAGTAGTACTAACCTGCTTTAAAGGAGACAAAAATAAACCCTTATAACTATCATATCATACTAGATTTAGTTTTAAGTTATAAAATAAAACCAGTTTCTAACTTCATAAATTTAGGCTTGTTTATTTTCTGTTTTTTTTATAAAAAATTCTCTTTTTAAAAATTAAAAAAATAAAACTTATTTGTTAAGACGAGTTCTTAAAAATTATTTTTAATTTTTAATTTTTAAAACTCAAAAACAAGAATAACTTTAAGAAATTTTGAATTTTTTTTCATTTTCTCATCTTAAAAAATAATTTTAAAAATAGTGTGTTTGATTTCTATTTTAAAATAATTTTTTATTTTTTAAAATAAAATTTAGTACAAATTTATATTAGATTTTATTTTAAAAAATAGAAAATTAGTTCTAAAAGTGAAATCAAACATTTTCTAAGTATCTGTTTGATTTTAAGAAATATTTCATGTTTTTATTTTCTATTTTTATTTTTTAAAATAGTTTTTATTTTTAATTTTTAAGATTTAAAGAAATATTTTGTTTGACTTTTTATTATTCTGTTTCAAAAAACAGTAACAAAACAAATAAAAAAAAAATACATACCAAGCCTTGCAAAAATAATGAAAGTAAGAATTTTATTATTATGTTTCGTGAAAAAAAATATATGGGAGAAAATAAAAAAAAGGGAAGAAGAGAATGAACAAATGTGAAGTAAGGGAAAATTACCTGCAACAAGTACCAACTGAGCGAGAAAGAAAAAAAAATGCGCCTTAAATAAAAAAGACAAAATACAAAATATAACAAGAAGTATAAATTAGTCAACATAACAGAGTCTAATTAAAATTATATGATATTTATAATGATGATATCGTACATTCATTTTTCTTGTTTTTAAGCATTTTTATTTTCAAAAAATATTAAAAATAAGTTTTTTTTATTTTAAAATTTGAGCTAGATTTTAAAAATATTTTTAAGAAAAATATTTTTTAAAATTCAACTAAACATATTTTCTCTTCTCATTAAAAAAAATGAGCAAAGTAAATTTAGTCTAAACTAATAGACAAGTTTTATTTTTATTTTTTCCTAAAAATCAATTTTTAGAATTATTTTAAAATGTAATTTAAAAAAATTAAAAACTAAAACAAAAAAGCTCCAATTAATATCAAAGATCCAAATTTAAGTTCAAAATATATAAATCACTTGAAAATTACAAAAAAAAATTATATATATAAATCACTGATTACATATTTAAGTTTGTTTATAAAATAAAAGTTGAGAATCAGAAGAATAAGAATAAGTGAGTTTGATGAGAGCCCACAACTTGATCTATTTAACACTTGATTTATCCTGACTTGTTCATTGAAAAGCTAAATTTGAACCTTCTAAAAATCTTATTAAACTAAATAATCTAGATTTTAGGTTTTCAAAATAGACTACTAATCCTATTAGGTCGATTGATTACACATACACACAACTTTTAAACCCTAAAGCCTATCAAAATAGCGAACAAACCCATATAGAGAGTTTTTGTTTTCGGCTTGGTCTTTGATGTTTGAACAATTTGTATCCTAGAATAAAATAAGATTAACAAATTTAAAACCAGAATAGCTGGGTGTCCAATCCGTCGCCCTAAATATTAATGTAACACTCCAACAAGGCTGAATTAGGTACTTTAATTAGAAACATGATAAATTTCAGTAAAATTATTTCCCATAATGGAACTCTTGAGAGTGCCTAAAATCTTTGCGCAACCAGACGCAACCCTAGTCTTCATGAAACCCATATTATTGACAAATCTTTCATTGGTTGCAATACCATTGAAGCGATTGAGAATAATACGTGATTGGTCACGGCCTGGGGTGGCTTCTTTGCAGTCATGTAATGGGTTGCTTACAAGCCTAACGTCACAAATCTGATTTGCTTGTTTCTCGTCCACCAAGATCGAATATGATCCTGAAGAATCACTCTCAGCCTTCTTGTTGAATACAATTTCATTTGTGATCCTATCCTTGCATTGCAGATTAACCTCGGCACCTAGGGAGCAACATTAGAGAAAATGTGTCACAAGGAACTTAAAATTCACCATTTCCCTAAAATTGAGGATTAAACATGCCATGATATCTTGTAAATTTTCACTTTCATTTTCTAAAGGGAACTCCAATTTGATGCTAAATGTCAATTTACTGCGCACTTACAAGATGAATTAGTTGAAATGCACGTATTAATCAATAAATGATATTTTTTACATATAAAATTCATTACTAATTCTTCATAAATTATATTTTAAAATAAATTGTATTAAATAAGTAATTAAATAAATAAATATCTAAATTTACACTGCATAATAGATCACTTAATATCTACAATTATATAACTAGTATAGGTTAAGCATAAAATATATTTTGTTACATGCGACAGCCAAACCAAATATTTAGGAATGAAATTCAAATTAAAAAAAAAGCATTTTATTTAAAGAAGTAGATCTGATATTTGGCAACAAATAACCCTACAATTTCTTTTCCCATTTTTGAGGTGTAATTTAAAAGTGAATTAAGGTTTTGTATTCATCACCGCAATTGCAATCGTAATATAATAAAGTTTATGAACTTTCAACAACATTGAAATGAATGTTAGAAAGGAAGTGAATGGAAAGGAAATGTGACAAGAGCGTGCAGTGAGTTACTAATATTAACAAGATCGAAGGGCATTTACCAGCAATGTAGGTGGTGGCAGGAGTCTCAAAACCAACACGACAAGGATCACAATACACGCGACCTTTAACATTGAAAGGGTTCTTAATAGGGCGTATTGCTGAAACAATCGTCGAATGAATACATAGAACTAATAAAATGGCTATTTTGACGATCATCTTCTTAATCTTGAAGATAAACACAAAAGATTTATGTTAAAATGAAAAATGGCAAACAAGAACTGTAATGAATGTCAATGTAAGAGAGTTGGGGTATGTATGTGTAAGAATGTTGGGGCTTGAGGGGTGTGTGATCAACACTAAACTATGTATGTATTGAGCGCCGAGAGTCGCATATCCTCAGCAAACATCACGCAACTTTATACTCATTTGAGCGTACCAAGAGCATGTTGAATGCGAAATTCAAACTTGCCACGTCACGATAATAACTTGAATGCATGCATGGCCAAATCAAAACTGTTATTATTCTCCGAATTTATATGTATTTTTCGACAAGGTGTGTGTGAGTTGTATCTAGGCTTGGTCATGGTTTAAGCATAAAAACTGAACTAAATATATGGTTTGACTGAATTGAACTAAATTTCTTTTAATTTGCTTGAATTGGGCCAAATCAATTCTTTAACTAGTTTGGTTCAAGAAATTGATTTTAAAGTGAGACTAGAAACTTTATCATAAAAGGCATTATTATAATATGAAAAAAATGATTAAATGACTTTCATTTTCTCTCTTTTTATTCTGTTTACACAATTTAAACAATAGTATTATATATATTTAAATTTAAATATAAATTACAAACAAAAATTAAATAAGAATTATAAGTACAAAAGATTATATAAAAGAATTCATTACATAAATTTATCTGAGTTATAAGTACGTTTGCACTAGAAAAGTGTGATGGCTAAATCTAGTCTTCAAATTTAAACTGAATAAAAATATTTACCATAAATTTGTTGTAATTTTTCAATTGAATTTGCAAGAAACAAATTATTGTAAATATAACTACTAAAAAATAAAAATTTTACTGTATGATGAATTTCCAGACTTAGTAGTCTCAGTATACAATATCATAAAGTAATAGTCGAAGGACCCATTACACTAACTTAATCTAAAGAAGATATCTGGCAGTGGTGCTCAAATTCAAGGATTTATGTTGACTTTCTATTCTGTAAAATAAAGTACAACATAAATAGAGAGGCACACAACAGGAGGGGGTGTGATTCCATTTATTATTTAAAGGAGACTAGTGATAATAATTAAGTTGACCGCGAATATTTTAACAAATAGAACATACTATTCAATTTTGACAGTAGTTCAAATAAATTTTATATATATATATATATATATGCAATAAATACATGCAGGATCTAACTTTTTAAAATAATGATCCATAGATTAGTGAATAAATGGAAGTTCAAAATTGAAGTTTTACCTATCTCCACTTTTATGTCATATTCGATGAAAATAACCTTTTACATATCTAAATAAATGTAGAATAAAAATATCATGTAATCTAATAATCGACTTACTGAAAAATTTGGACTTAGCTCACTCCAAAAATGTATAAAAAAAAAGATTATCTTAATTCTTATAAAAAAAATATTTTGGTTAATATGGAAAATTTTAACACAGACCTCTCACACAAATATTTAGTGTATAAAATTTATAGGACTAAACATATGCACTGGTTATCCAAAGGACTGAATATCTATGGTAATCCAACATTTAAATTGGATAAACTTCAAGATTATGTTAAAAAATTTGAGTATAATTTACTTTCAAACTGTATAGTTCTCTTTTACAATAAAGTGTAATTCACATGTAAACATAAATTGGTATAATAAAATTTGATTATTATTAATTTTTAAAATTTGAAAATAATTTTAAAGTTATCATTTTTTAAAAAACTTATATCATATTATTTTCAATTAAAAATAAAAAGCAGCCAAGTTGAAATATATAATTACTAAACTCAGCATGTGATTTGTTAGAGCTGCCGGATTTTGATTCCACTTCTCCGTTTTCTAGACGGTTTTGTACAAATCCACACAGGTTTGAATTTATGAATATTTTTATCACTTATTAATTATATCTTTAAATATGTATTATAAGGATATTTTCTGTTCATTTTAGCGAAATTTTATTATTATTATCTTATGTTATAAAAATAATATAAAAATTAGATTGAAAATTTTTACACAAATAATAACAAATCTTATTATAATTATTTTATAACTTTTTTCTTCTTGTAACCCGGCCGACATTAAAAGGTTATTTTTAACTTAAGGCAATTGAAATCTATTTCCGATATACAAAAATGCTGGTGACACATCGGTCAATAACTTTTTATAATTGATTGTTTTATTTTTTTCAAAAGTTAAATATTTATTTTTTAAATTTAATTATTTTTTTAAAAAATTAATTATAAAAATATATTAAAGAGTACGTTTTCTAAAAAAATTATGGTAAATATTTCTGGTCCTATATATGCTTTGCTTGGTTCGCATTTCAAAGGGAGCTAGAGAGGTGAGGACAAAACTGGTGAAGATCTAACCCAGTAACCATGAGGAGCTTTATGGACCTCAAAATATGGCTACTTAAATTGGTTACCTTGTCAAGTTTGCTCTGCTTGTCCCATGGAAGACCAAATCATGAGTTCCGAGTAAGAGCTGTTAATCTTGGTGGTTGGTTGGTTACTGAAGGTTGGATTAAACCTTCTCTCTTCGATGGCATTCCAAATAAGGATTTCTTGGTAAGTAAATATATTAATAATTGCATTACTTACTCTTTAGTTTTTTTAATACTCTTTATGTCTCCATTCATGATAATGAAAAATTTTTCCTTTTAATTTTTGAGGATGGAACTGGCCTTCAATTCAAGTCCGTGACTACAAGGAAATACCTCAGTGCAGAGTATGGAGGAGGAAATATCATAGTTGCAAACCGCACAGATGCTTCGAATTGGGAAACATTCACGGTGAGTAAGCTATTCCATATGCATTTAGAGAAATGTTATTCAATATATATTTTAAATTTATAAAAAATATCATACGAGTCCCACTTTTTAATTTAATATGTTGTACTCGTATTTGTGTATGTATATCATTCATTAATCAATTAGAAGCACTAAATTGGATTATAATTTAAAATGTGATGTTGGATGTTACATTTTGATGGTGTTATATTGTGTTTAGTTGTGGAGGATAAACGAGGATACTTTCAGATTGAGGGTGTTCAACAAACAGTTTGTGGGCTTAAATGGGATTAACGTTGTTGCTGTTATCGATGTTCCCTCTCATTCTGAGACGTTTGATATTGTAAAGGAAAGTGGCAATTCAAGCCGTGTTCGAATCAGAGCATCTAGTGGATACTTCTTGCAGGTAATCAATCCCCTGCTGTTGAGTATTTGATTAAGAAAAATAATCATTTGAGCCCATTAAATGAGCGTAAAATGAGCAAAGAGAAGACAAAAATAAAATGAATAATGTAATAATGAAAGAAGAGGGAAAAAAAAAGGTATAACGATTGAATTAATGAGCAAAGCAGTAGGAAAATGACAGAATGCTTTAAGTTTTGTGCCATATAAGATTTACCTCATTTCAATTCCTGCACTGTACAGAAGCAACAAAGGAAAACGACCTTGAGAAAACAAAAATGTTTTATTGACAATTTTACCAGATAATTATAGCTTATTTCTTATTTGATAGTTTTAATTTTCAGATGTATGTATAAAAAAGATAAAAATAAAAAATAAAAATAATTATTATTATACACACCATATTTTTTGGTTATTTGAATAACAGAAGTGTTTGAAAAACACACAAAGACATTTCAAGACAGAAGAGTGTTTCAGTATCGTCACTATCCCATCACGAAGTCGCCGCATGGATCTTTAAATTTAAAATAAAAAGAATTTATCTTTCTCCTTTTTCTTCTTTAATAGCTCTACCCCAAACAACACTTAAAGAGCAGCCAGTTGATATGCCATCAGTTTCCTTCATTCGCTCATTTTAGAATGAATTTTCTTCTTAACAATAAAGATAGGATAACGAAATATAGAGATATATATGTGTATAAAAGATAAAATTAAACTAATTTTATATACTATTAAATATAATATTAGTTATTTAATATTTAAATAACTAAATTATATATATAAAAAGGAATTTGCATGCATCCTGTCCCCTCCTCGGATCTACCACCCAACTTGGGGGAATTAGATTAATGTAATAAATAAACAACTTTTCTAAAGTATTTAAGGAATAAGCAATAAAAACTAATGTATGATAATTTTCATTAAAAATACTAAGATATAGTAGAATTCAATACATAATAATATTTAATGTTACATTTTTTAATAAAAACTTGTAAATTTTTTATTTCTTAACATTTTTATTGACTACATATTAAAAACATTAATAAATAAATTAAATTTACATATTATTTTTGTTCAGTACGTAGTTCCTTTCCATTGCTTTACAATTTTAATGTGGGTCCATTTTTTATATTTAATCTGTATTCTTAAAATATTGATTCACGTTTTCCTTATTTTAATCTTATAAAAGTACCACAAGTTTATACTGGTATTAACGTTGTACGCTACAAAACATAAAAATATAACCTGGTTGACTTGCAGGCAAAGACAGAGGAGTTGGTGACTGCCGATGTTTCAAAGGTGAGGGGATGGAGAAACGATGACCCAACCGTATTTGTGATGACAATTGCTACAAGGTTGCAAGGTGAATTCCAAGTAACAAATGGTTATGGACCCACAAAAGCTCCACAAGTTATGAAGGTAAACATTGATACGAATTAAAATAAAGAATTCGCCAATGGTGTCTAAGGATAAGTTGCGTTAATTTACTTATAATTTAAAATTATATATATATATATATATATATATATATATACGTGTGAGTAAGATTTTTTCATACTATTACAGGTCTAAAAACGTTTAAAATTGATTTAAATTTTTTATTTAATTTACATATAATAATAATAATAAAATAATAAATTGTAACTTGATAGATATAAGTTAAATAAAAAGTTTAAATTAAATATAAATTTTTTTAAATTTATACTAATATAAAAAAATCTGTCCCATATATATATATATATATATATATATATATATATTATTACAAGTTGTATGCATATATTAAATTTAAAATAATATAATTCCGGAATAAATAAATAGATGGCACGTGGTGCTGAAAATTTTATAGACAATTGTCATTGACCTCTTACAACTATTGATTTATTGTTGCATGGAAACTCCCCCTTCACATGGGATGTTCCAGTGAAGAACTTAAATACTCTAGTATGTTGAATACATGTATGGTTATGTAGAAAGACGAAGGGATAATTTCTATCAAATAAAGAATTATCAAACAAATATTTTTTTGCACAATTATATTATATTAATTAATAATACGAGAGAATTTAAATTTTTCTTGGGACTAGAAATGACAATGGGTAAAGTACCCGACAGACACCCGCAAAATTTACCTACAATGGGTAGGGTATTTACTCGCCATATGGGTACGGATATGAGTGTGGGTAAAAACCTTCAAATTTTAATGGGGATGGGTATTTAAGTACCCACCCTGCCCCATACCCGCATATATATATATATATATATATATATATATATATGTTTGAACTTTATTCTACAATTATGTATTCAATTTTTGTATTATTATATTACTCATGTGAAGTTATATAAGATTAATGTAAAAATATATTTAATAATAAAGTAAACCAAAAATTTATTTTAGTTTATATTTTTAATAGAAAAATTTATTTACTATTTTATATCATTTAATTAGACTAATACAATTTAATTATTATATAGTTAATATGAGATTAACTTTTTTTTAAAAATATTATTTATATATGACACACATAAAATATTTTTCACACAAATATTTTTGTTAATAAAATCATATTAATGTTTAAATCATAAAGTGAATGATAAATAATAAATATATTATAAATATTTTATAAATTTTACAATCACCTACTATTATCGTAAATTTATTATTTATTAATAATATTTAAATTTTATTTTTTATATTTTAATTTAAAATAATATTTTTCTATACAACATATGTATTACAAGCACAACTATAATCTATTGAATCTAAATAATATTATTCTTACTATTTATTCACGTTCAAAAAAGTTTTTGAAAAGATACTTTCGTATAGTATATGAGTTAAAAATACTAAGATTAATATATATATATATATATATATATAATATTATATTATATTATTTTAATTAAATTTATTATTTTTCTTACAATTTCAAATTCAAAAGTTAAAAAAAATATTTTATGTATTCATTTTCTGTTGTTAGTATTGAACTTCTCTACTCTAACTCTATTCTCATTCTCAATGTTTGTCTCATTAAAACTTAACAACTATGAAACGGTATTCATTAGAGTTAGTTGTCAATACCGTCATAAGAGGTCACCAAGTGATCCCACACGAAGGAACAACCATTGTGCAGATCTATTTCATTGTCGCTCTTACATTGTTAATCGATTAAATCTCACACAAGATAAGGTTATAACTGACAAGTAACTTGTGTGTTTAGTTTCGCTTATTATTTCTAAAAATTTTAATTTAGAAAATTATTATACTAAGATACATTTAGTATTTATGATCTTTGAATATTTATTTTTTATCTATGTTTGTACATTTTTCGACAATTACATATTGAATTTTTGTATTATTATGCTATTTATGTGAAGTTATATAAACATATTTTTCTTTATAAATATTTTTTTCTCAAACAAACGCGGGTAATGGATTCAAGATGAGTATGCAGGTACCTAAAGAGTACGGATACGAGGATTAATGTTCATACTCATACAGATATGGGACCGGGTACTTACCCATACCCTACCCATTGTCATCCCTACTTGGGACTTATATTAACTGGGTATCTAAATTTCTTAATATCTATGTTACTGTTGTGTAATTGTGGTTAAAAACCATGTATTATGTGGACATCTTTAAATTTTTACGAAATAAATTTAGAGATATTAATAAAATAAAAGAATAGAAATAAAAATAATTATTTCTTTTGTTTAATGTATTATTAATTGGATAATTTTATTTGAATTTTCAAATGGCATCTACGTAATTGTTGCAAGAATAAAATTAAAGTGAAATTAGAAAATAACTTAACTTGATAGATAATAATGTAAATAATTACTTAAGAGAGCTAAATGATAATATTGATGAGAAAAGTAAAGTAGATTTCTCATGACACTTACTGATAAAACACAAATGTAAAAAAAATTAAAAAAAAATCAATTTCAAGGAAACGGAAAAATACTAAAAATTGTTAATGAGTGTAACATTTGTAAAATATGATTGTTCAAATTGTTAACAGCAGAAGAAATAAGTGAAAGAAAAATGCTTCGAGAAATTCAACGAAATTATTGATGTATCGAAGAATTAAGTTAATTAGCTGATTGAGATCTCATTATTATAATTTGCCTCTTAACTTTTGAACATTATAATATATAATAAATAAGTAAATGGTTGAGGGTGTGTGTTCTCACAGGAACACTGGAACACTTTTATTGTTGAAGATGATTTCAAGTTCATAGCCAATAACGGATTGAACACTGTTAGAATTCCAGTTGGCTGGTGGATAGCAAGTGATCCAACACCACCCAAACCTTACGTGGGAGGTTCCTTGCACGCACTAGACAACGCCTTCTTGTGGGCACAGTAAGTCCACAAACTAATTGATAAACAACTTTTTGATAGTTATATGGCTTTAGCTAGATTCTTAAATGAAATGTTTTAGTTAATTGTCACTTGAGATTAATGATCCACATGCAGGAAATATGGATTGAAAGTGATCATTGACCTACATGCTGCACCCGGTTCTCAAAGTGGCTACGAGCACAGCTCTTCAAGAGATGGCTCACAAGATTGGGGAAAATCAGATGAAACAATCCACCAAACAGTTCAAGTTATAGACTTCTTGACTGCAAGGTTTATATTCTCTTACTTTGTTTATCAAACATGTTATAAAAGTAATAATTTTTATTAAGAACATAATTTATTAAGTCAAGTATAGCAAATGTTTATATTTTTAATAAAAAAAAATACGGCTTTTATATGAAATTAGTCTTTCCTGTTAATGTTTACAAAATTTATAATCAATAATATAGCATGCCATTTTCATCCAAGATGCATAAGTGAGTTTCAAGTTGTTGTGCCTCGCAGATATGCAAAAAGCCCAAACCTTTATGCAGTTGAGCTTTTGAATGAGCCTCGTGCACCTGGTGCCACGGTAGAGATGTTGAGCAAGTACTACAAAGCTGGTTATGAAGTAGTGCGCAAGCACTCTTCCACAGCCTATGTGGTGTTGTCAAACAGGCTAGGACCCTCAGACCCCAAGGAATTCTTACCTCTTGCGAGTGGCCTTAAGCGATCTGTGATTGATGTTCACTATTATAGCGTCCTTAATGACACATTTACCAACTTTACTGTCCAAGAACACATTGATTTCATCAAAACTAACCGCGCATCAGAGTTGAATTTGGTTACAGCCTCAAATGGTCCTCTTAGTTTTGTCGGTAAGTCTTCAAAATCATCCTTCATTTACAAAGAAATTGAGTTTACATTTTACTCGATCTTTTTAGCATCACTTTCAAATGTTTCAATGGCAATTTAAATCTAATCAATAAAACAACCTAATTTTTGTGAGTCTTCAAAAATTTGTTAAAGTAACATTTAGCTTATACCTATATCAATAATTTTATCACATTTTTATTCTTTCCCTTTTAAAAACAGTATACATAAGTTAAATCTCTCTTTTCATGTAATTTTAATATTATATTAATAAAATATTACATATATTTTTTTGTAGTTTTTTAATACATTCCAGATAATTTTATTAAACAACTATAATTTAATTAGTTACTTATAAAATTATAAACAAGCTAATTTTAACAAACAAAACCTAATTATAAAATTAGTTATCACCAACTACTTCAATATTTTTAAAAATAATAATTTGGTGAAACTAATTTATTCTATTATAATAATTGATAAAATTAATATTTTTTTAAATGTGCATACTTGTATTAAATGACATCTAATATGAGAAGAATGAAGCAGATAATAGTTTAAATGTATCAATTTTTTTAAAATCGGTCAACATGCACGAAATAAGAAGTTATATATAATAAATTTTTATTTTTAAAATTTAATATAATTAAATACCTTGATATTATTAAATGTTATAATTTTTAATAAAAAATTATTATATATAACTTATTTTATTGCACATGTTAAAAAATTGTAAAAGTATTTAAATGTTTTAATTTATGAAATCATATAATTTGTTATTTTATATTATTGCTTATTTTTGTTCAATAGCAAATAATCAAATGGTAACTCTTTATTTTATTTTAGACTTCGTGTTATTTAAGTTTTGAATTCGCTCTATACTAATTTTGATTCAAGGTGAATGGGTTGCTGAGTGGGAAGTTATTGGAGCTACAAAAAGGGACTACCAAAGATTTGCCAAGGCCCAAATAAATGTTTATCGACGAGCAACATTTGGTTGGGGTTATTGGACTTTAAAGAATGTCAGAAACCACTGGAGTCTAGAGTGGATGATCAAGAATGGTTATATAAAGCTAACTTAGAGAGTTTTCTCCAAGGGGCAGCACTTCCCTCTACTAGTCATATTTTCTTATGTGAACCCGTCATAATAATTACCTTTGCATGTCCTTACGTCAACGGCGAAGAAAGGGCGCAAAACATTGTAACCTTTTTATTAGCAAATAATATAAAAAATAATGGAATATTGATGGGCTAAAAAGAAAGGATAAAACTCCTACAAAATATGTTTAAATCTAAAGTGAATTTTGAGTTAACAAAAGTATACTATATCAAAGTTATGGATAGATAGTTTTACTCGATCTATCCGAATTTAAAATACTCGAAGCAATTGAAACTAAAATTGTGTGGATAAAAACATGTCAAGTAAAAGAAAATATAATTTAACAGATTGAATTGAGTTCATGGGAGTTGCTTAAATTCAATCCAATAGTATTTGACATGTATAAGAATATATATAAAAGAGAGATTTTTTTTTAGAAACTCTAATCTCTTCTCTTCCTATATCTTCCTATATCTTGTAACATCATTATTTCTTATCTAATATAAATAGTAGTTTATATTGATGAATAAAAATTAAATAAATTTCTTGTTATATTTATAATTAAAAGAATTAAAAAAGAGTAAAACTTGTATTTTTATTATTAAATTCATGAAAATTCAAAGATATTCAAAGTCTTTGAAATGAAATAGTTTTGAAAATTTTGATTTATCAATACACAAAAAACTATAATTTTTATGTAAACAATTTACTTACTTCATATTATATATACATATAAACTTAAAACATAAACAACATTACTTCTTAAGAAGTAAATTTCTAAATGAAACTTAAATGTAAATTAAAAGCAAAATAATTAGCTATTAATATTACAAATACTTCAAATTAATGGTTACAACAAAATTTACCAGAGTGTTAGAAATTTTAAATTTGATATTAAAATAATTATAACATTATTAATTTAAAATAGAAGCTTAATAAAATATTATAAATTTTAAATAATTCAAATCTTACATAGCAGTCTTTCTTCATAATATTATTAGAGTATGATCCTAGAACGAGCCAACCTTCTTTTAATTCTCTTCGATTTTGTCTACTGAAAATAGTTAGTAAAGGTGAATATTCTCTGCCCCATTAAACCCTTTATTTTATAAATAAATCATATAACACAAAAATATTATACAATACAATGTGCACTAAGATAATACTAACTCATATATTGTATTCATAAATTTTACAGCAGATCAAACATAATAATAATAATCATATGATTAGTATTTTCAAATATATATTAGACTCATATCATTTCATATATCCTTACATTGAGTAGTATGTAATAATCAAATTAATCAATGCATTACAATACATATATTATAATTAAATCCGTTGATGTATTACGATACTTATATTTTAATCACACTAATTAATCCGTTATGACTCACTTATTACAATCACACATCTCACAACTCTACATTCATTGCCCCTAGATCCCTTGAGGCCTTCCATAAATATATAGTTACTAGTTAGCTGCAGTAACACAGATACAACGTATGTCGACCAGTCTCCTTTTAGCAAAAGTATAGTCAAGAAATGAGTGTGTGACCTATGATGCTTTCACTTTCAACAAATCATTATGCACTCACTTAAAAATAGTAATCACCATTCTCATTTCTCTAAGATTTTTTAAATCGTCTCCAAACTCTATCTTCTCAGTGTATTTTTGTAATTATCTATACACACTCTCAACATTTCTCATGATATTAACTTTCTTAGCATTTTCACATGACACATAATGTATAAGCATTTCTCTTTCCACTTTGATAATATAAATAACTTTAATTTTTCATGCATTTTCATTTACATCAACCCTCTATTCATGAGTTTTTACTAATAAAACATTTTATCATCTGATGGTGTGAATACATATTTTTTTATTATTTTAATAATGCAAAAACAAAAAAAAGAGAAAAAGAAAGGGGATATTAAAAAGGGAAAGAGAGCATTTTGGAGGGCAAAAAAAAAGGGATTGAAAAGAAAGTCGAAGAGAAATAATAATAATAAAAAAAGACATAGAGAAGCATTAGAAGCAGAAAAAAAGAAAGCAAAGATTTTGACCCATACTCACATATACTTATTCTCCTCCAATCACGACTATCAAGAGTTTAACTTCTGTCGAGGTGAGTATTTGTTAGGTCTAAATCTTCTTGTCTTATGCAAAGTGTTCCATTTCTTGTTTGAAATTGCTCGAGACATTTTAGAATTATTTTTTTATGTATTTCATATATTTTATTTTGTTATTAACTTTTAACATCTTATTCTTTTTATTTTATTTTATTTATTTATTTTTTAATTTTCTTTAATTCTTTTTTATCTTTATAAATAATTATATTAATAATGGTAGAATGAATAAGAATAATGTTGAAAATTAAATTCCTTATTTTATGTTATATAATTGCCTTTTTCTTAGTGATTTATTTATTAGTCTCGCTTAATTGTTCATTAATATTACTTTCATTATTAAGTTAGTATAATTTGTCTTGAGTTTATATTGTCTTTTATTTTATGATTGAGAAGTTATATTTAATTTCAGAATCATAATAAACAAATAAAATTAATTCAACAATTTATAATACTAATGTGTAGTAACTCTACTTTTATGCATTATTAATTCAAAACCTATAAGTACCAACGTTACCATAGGTTTTACACAACATCAATATATTGAAAATTTTATTCGATTTCTAAAAGAAATCCATTATTATTCTTTTAGTTAAAATCAATCATCTATGTTTTTTTTTTTCATCATATTAATGCGACAATTTACAGTATTATTGTATAGCATCTCTACCTTTATACACTTTAAATCATTAAAATTTTTGTGTACCAACATTACCTTAGGTCCTATGCAATATAAATTTATTAAATAAAGTTATAATTTTTTTATTAAATAACAATCTTCATTAATCAATTCAAATATATTTTATTCTTTAAATTAATTAATTTCATATTTTAATTTTTTAAGTCATATTTCAAATTTTAATAAATTAAATAACCAATCATTTCTTTATTTTATTATACAAATTTTTACAATATCGATGTGTGATTTACATTACCTTTGATTATCCAATAAATTATAAAAGATTTATGTATAGTTTACGCTATCTTAATTTTTTTTTAACATTAATCATAATTAAAATTTAAATTTAAATACTTCATTTGTGAATAAAATATTTTTAACAATTTGTAATACAGTCGTGTGATCTTCTTTCACCTTTTGTATTGTTTCTCGTAGAGTACATGTATAATTGCGTTATCTTTTATACTAAATATTATAATTTTATAAAAATAATTTTAATCTTAAAACATATTTTTTTATTAAACTTAATTTTAATCAACTAACTTTGTAATTTTTGTATAGAACTACATGACTTTAAGTTCTCCATTGTACTCAGGGATACATAGGAGCGAGAAGCAGACCTGTTGAGTCAAACAATTTTTAAATTTTTTTTTCTAAGATATAACTTAATATTTTAATACATAAATTTTCTTTCTTTAAAAATAAAAATAGAAACATTTATTGTTTTAAGGGTTAAATAAATATTTTTTAAAATTATAATAAATTTGCATAATTAATTTAAGACAATTGTTATTTAAACGGACATTGTAGGGTGCTAACACCTTCCCTACACGTAAATAACTCTCAAATCTATTTTTTGTTTTAAAGATCAAAATTTTAAGTTTCTCTAAAGTTTTCTTTAATAAACTTTGGTGGCTTTACCGATTTTTCTTAAAACAATTTTTGCCATATTGTTGCGACATAAGGCAATCAAACACTTTTCATAAATTTTTAACACGCATCAACTATCAGGTAAGGATTCACACTCATTGTATCATATCAGTTCAATATAAAGAAATTATCAATTAATTTTACATCATACAATTCAATGAAATGTGCTGGAGGTTGGACACCTTCGAACTCAAACCAGTCGTATAGTATAAATTTTTTTTACTGGAATCACATACTCTTGGTCTTAATAAAATCTTATATCCTAAAGTTTGGCATCATTCACAGTACATATATTATTCAAAATAATAAATAACTATCTTAACTTTAAATATGTAATGATTAGTAATATACTCATAGAACTTCTTTAAAAAATTATTTTTGTTCAGAACTTTTGCTATAAAATTGTATTTAAATAGTTTTGAAAACAACCATAGGTTTTTCATGTCTAAAATTTCCATCTTAACCTAGAGATTTTAAAAAACTTTAGGGTTCTATGGTTCAAATAGGAAAAGCTTAGAATTTTCAACCAAAATACATAAATGGAAATAGGTCTCTCAAACTACTTTCTTTGTAAGATTTACAAAGAAAACGCATGTTATGATATGAGATACTACCCAAGGACCAAGAATTTTCCTAGATATTACAAAAGATAACACTTTTAAGAAGAGAGGAGATAGAGGAATAAAATGAAGTTTGGAGAACTAAGCTCCAAGAAACTTACTTGGGATCGAAAGGAATTAACGTTCAAGCTCAGATCTAAAAGAGTTTGCAGTTTGAGAAGGTTTTCTCTAGAAGAGAAGATGGGAGAATAGAGAGAAATGAGAAGGAAGGTGATTTGGTTCTAAATGAAAGTTTCTACGATGCAAATTTTTTAAATACTCTTCAAAGTTGCGATTGTTTTTGGATAATCTCTATCACTACAGTGAGACATATCTTGCTACAACGAGAAACCTTACAGCTCACACACCTTAAACTCTCTTAATTTTAAACAACATGCATAAATAATTAACATACAATAAATAATAATAAATAAAAAAAATAAGGGTGTTATATACCTAATCTTTAATCTTGGTACCCTTATCTCTGAATCTTTGCTCTTCTTTTTCTACTATACTCTTTGCTTTCTACAAGCTTCACTAGTTACTACCTTAATACCTAACTTTTTTCTCTCTTTGGTCCATGTGATGTAGTTTGCTGCACCACTTCTCCTTCAATTGTACTTCCTCTCTATTTTTTGT